GTTGAGCTTCATGAGGTTCCTCTCCACTCGACTCTTCCAGGTCTCCCTGAATGGCCCCAGAGCCCCTCAGTGTGTCAGCCACTCCTCCCAGTCCTGCATCAGCAGCAAACTGGCTGAGGGTCCCCTCTGTCCCTTCACCCAAGTGACTGGTGACTGCAGCTACCTCAACCAGCACCTCCCCTGGCTCCTGGCCACGTGCCCAGCCACGGCTGCCAAGGGTCAGACGCCCTCAGAAGCATTAAGGAGCCACCACCAGCAGAGCCTGGCTGAGGGGCTGTTCCCATGGCCCTGCCTCACCACCAGCTCGGGCGAATTAAACCAGCCCAAGGGGAGAACTCAAGCCCATGTCCCTCCTTCATGAGTTTAATCCAATCACTGCAGGTTTCTCCACCATCATCATAAGATGCAGAGTCCTTGCAGCAGGTACAGATGCTGTTATCTCTGGCAAGAACAGATGCCAGCTCTGAACCCTCCTGAAGACCCTTACTGGGATGAGGGTCCTTCACCAACCAGCACCCTCAGGCCAAGCTCCTTCAGAGCCAGGTTTTGAAGGTGGCAGGGAAAATATTTACTGATTACTCAGAGCTTATACAACAGGCTGGAAATCTTTGTGCTGAGTGTTTGGCAGAAATAAATCATAGGGATGACAAACTAACCACCTCCCTCCTCCAAATGATCTGCAAATTATAACCCTTTCCTGCCACCAAACTCCTTTCTTTCCCCCTGCAGAGAGCCCCTGAGCATCCCCCAGTGCATGCCAGGGAGCTGTGACATTCCTGAAACTGGGGAGCAGCATTTTTCTGATGTTTCTGTCCCAGTAAAGAGGACAGACACACACTCTGGTGGCCAGGGCCTCATCTGCCACGGCAGCAGTGTCCCAGCAAGCCGTGCTGAGTGTTTCTTTTTACCATTCAGGTTCTTTTCTGGGATGAAAAAAAGAGCTTGTTAAAGAAAAACAGGGGAGGAACAGAATCATTAAGGTTGGGAAAGACCTCTGAGATCATCAAGTCCAACCATCAACCCAACACTCCCATGGCCACTGAACCATGTCCCCAGGTGCCACCTCCACACGGGTTTTTTGGACCCCTGCAGGGCTGGGGACTCCCCCACCTCCCAGGGCAGCCTGGGCCAAGGCCTCACTATTCTTTCAGTAAGGACTAGACAGCGAGGACAGAAAGAGAAGCCCAGGAGAGGGTTCCAAACCCCTCTGAGGAGGGGAGCTGGGGCAAGACTCACTCTTGCAGCGACCTGTCCAGGTCCTCGGGGGCCGTGCCCAGGCGGCAGTGGCAGGAGAGCGGCTCCTCGCCCCGCCCGGGGCGGCCGGGGGCCGGGGGGACGCTGTCGGAGCCCAGGCTGGAGGAGAGCTGGGAGGAGCTGCTGGTGTTGAGGCTCAAGGAGGACGCCGTCAGCTTGACCTTGCTGCTGGCTTTGCTGCTGGGCAGCACGGCGGGCTGGATCTCGATCTCGTCCGACCCCGAGGACTGGGAGATGGAGCCCAGCGAAGCTTTTCGGTGGGGTTGGGATGCCGACGACGGGACACAGGCCGGACAGGGACAGGGGGGTGACGGTCCACTCGTTCAAAACTGCTGATTTATAGGAGAGCTGGAAGGTTAAGGAGGATAAACCCTGCAGGTAGCTGAGGAGAAACTCGCACTCCTCGGCGTCCAGGAGCAGAGCGGTCGCCTGGTAGTACTCGGGCAGCCGGGACCTCTCCCGCAGCAGCAGCTTCAGGTAAGACTCCACGAGGCCGTCGTTCAGAGCCAGCCTCAGCCAGGCTCGGCAGCGCCCCACGTCCGTGTGGATGAAGATGAGCTGTTCCAGCTCGGAGACAATATTCCTGGAGGGAGAGAGAGGAGAGGAGGTGAGCGGCTCCGCTCTCAGCCCCTCCTGGGGGGCAGGAGGGGAAGATCCTCTGCCAGGAACGCCCCAACCTGCTCTGCTACGGGGGGTTTAGGAGCTGGGCTTAGAAAAGGCTGTGGAAGATCTCTTTCCTTCGTGGAAAACCTGGGTTTGCATGGAGAAAAAAGAGCTTCTGAATGCCCCAAAGCTCAATATTCTGGTAACGACCCCAGGGTGTCTCTGGGTGCTCCTGCTCGCTTTGGCTGGAGGCATCTCCCACATGTTGCTCTTGGCCTCGGACCACGGCTGCCGAGGGGGGAAAGTCCTGCTGTCCCTGCATGTAGCTCTGCCTGGACACTCCCTGGTGACAAACTCATGTCTAAATCCCAGCTTCAAACCTAAAATCAGCCAAAACACAGCGCAAACTGCTGCTGTAGCCCCAAACCCCCAGGGCAGGTTGAGCTCCTCAAGCAATCTCAGCCTCCTGCCTTCAGCCATTCTCCTCTCCAACCCCACAGCCACACCAGGCTCCCTAATCCTCCCTGGCCCCAGCTCATGTCCGTGCTGTAGATGCTACAAAAACCAGAGCAAAGGTTTTGTAGGATTTCTTTTAATCTGTCTCTCAAGAAAGAAGAAAAATAAAACCCTTCAAAGGGCACAAAAATATCCCCTGCAGCGTGTGAGGGAGCTATTTTCATCTGCTCTTTCCTAACTCAGGAGTTGGGGATGGAGCTGGAAGAGGCTTTCGAAACTCTGGGCGTGTGGGCTGTCATCTGCTGTGGGAGGACTCTGCTAAGGGAGTGGCTCCAAAAACCCCCAGCAAATAACGACTGTTCCCTAGGGGAGATCTCCTCAAAGGCTGGTTGGGACATGGGGAACGGAGGCAAATCATCCCCAGAAGATCTAGATCAGAAGATCTGATCAGTGCCCTGCACTGGTCACCCCTTACCCACCAGTGCGTTCACTGAGGTCCCACTTGGGACCTGGCACCCAAAAATAAAGAAGGGTGAGCCCCAAGCTGGCAGCAGCACTTCACTCTTCAACTGTTTGGGGACATCAATTCACACCTCAGTGCCACTTTACCCATTACAGATGCTGAGAGGGGCTGAGCTGGGTGCCCAGCCCCACACCGCTCGGCATCGCAGAACCCCAGAATGCCAGTGGAGGGGTTCCAAGGGACCTCTGGAGATCACCTCATCCCACCCCCTGCTCCAGCAGCTCACCCCCAGCAGGGTGCCCAGGGTCACAGCCAGCCACGTTTGCGATCTCTCCAGAGCAGGAGACTCCACAGCCTCTCTGGGCAGCTGCTCCAGGATCCAACACCCTCACAGCAGAGAAGTTTCTCCTCCTGCTCAGGTGGCACCTCCTGGGTTCCAGTTGGTGCCCGTTGCCCCTTGTCCTGTCCCTGGCACCACTGACCAGAGTCTGGCCCCAGCCTCTTGCCCCCCGGGGCCCTTTAGCTCTTGCTCAGCACTGCTCAGATCCCCTCTGAGGCTTCTCCTCTCCAGCTCAGCAGCCCCAGGGCTCTCAGCCTGGCCTGGCACAGAGATGCTCCAGCCCCTCAGCAGCTCTGCAGCCTCTGCTGGACTCTCTCCAGTAGCTCCTTGTCTCTCTGGAACTGGCAAGCCCAGAACTGGCCCTGGGACTCTTAGAATTGGCCTCAGTGGGGCAGAGAGAAGGGCAGAAAAACCTCCCTTGACCTGCTGCCCACATTTTTCACAATGCACCCCAGGGGCATCGCTCTCCTACCTGCATCTCCCAGTGGTCCTGGGCAGCCCCAGCCCCTGAAGCACCCCAGGAGAACATCTCTGCCCCCAGCTGCAGGGGCTGAGGACAGGATAGAGATGGAACTTTCCATCGAGCCCTCCTCCTGCTCTCCCCTCCCTCCATTTTAGGGCTCTCTCACCAAAGACAGGGGACAAGCCTGAGCGTGCAAACACCCCTGGGCACTCACCGGTGGGTGATGCTCTTCAGCAGCCCCCAGAAGACGGGCTGGGGAAGGGGCCCTCGTCCCCCTGCTTTCTTCCCTTTGCCCCCACTCTCAGCCCTGATGTGCTTGGCCTTCAGGCCGTGCACGAAGACGGCTTCCAGGGCGCTGCAGAGCGTGTTGGCGTTCCCGTCCTCGCTGGTGACCACGGCGTCCGAGCTCACGTACTGCTTCTGCAGGGCCTTGATGGCATCCACCAGCTGCTTCCTGATCAGCTGCAAGACAGGAGGCACACGCTGGGATGGCCACAGGAGGAATAGGAGGGAAGAGGTCACAAAAACCAGCTCAAGAGCTGCGGGGCGAAGCGCCACCTGACTCCTGCTCCATCCCAGCGCTTCACGGCGGTGGGTAGGAAGCACCAGAGCTGAGCTGCTCGAGCTGGGGACTCACACTTTTGGCATCACAGCTCATCTGGCTTTTTTTTTTTTTGGTCTTTTAATTAGTAATTTATGCAATTTTAGCTGGCGTTTCGAGGGCTACCAGGTCGCTGGGGTTGCCTGTAGAGCGTGTGGTGCCTCCTCTGCAGAGGCCGAATTGCTTAAGAGGCTGAGAAGGAGGAATTGGCTCTTTCCAGGTGCTTGCTCAGGGGGAAGACAGGGATGCAATGTGCCTGGGTGAGAAATGAGGAGCTCAAAGGAGGTAACTCAGAACTCAGGCTGTGCCACCGCTCCAACTCGTGCCCATCAGCCCGGGCAGCATGTGACACTCCAGCGAGTGCCCCCAGCAGAAATCAAAGCCATCGATCCCACCCTCAGCAGCTCCTCTGTGCCAGTTCACCCAGGGCTGCTGCCGGGGACAGGTCCCCCCCCAAAAAAAGACACTTTAAAAGGACATGCTGGGGTTTGGTGGCTGCCTTTGGAGAGACTCAGGGGGGGGCTGGGCTTTACCCTCCAGCAGCTTTGCCTCCCTCTTTCTCACACCAGTAGAAAAGCACCAAGTCCAGTGGATTTAATGATTTCCCACTGCTGCAGAGGATTTTTTTTCCTCATGCAGCTCAGCCTGGATGTCTCAATCCCCCTTATTTCCAACGAAAGTTGTGCTCCCCAGCAGGCGTTTGGCAAATGCTGCACATTCAGCTGGGATCCCCCCAAACCCTTCTCGTTTGGGCACCGATCACGCGGCTCTCCAGGTGAGTGCTGAACAGCACCAGCCCCTGGGAGCGGGGCAGGGCAGATCTGGACTCGAGCCTGCCTTGGCTGCACAACCCCCTGAGCAAATTTTCAACCCAGGAGATTTTTTTTCAGCATCTAACCAAGATTTCCAGCAGCTGGAAAGGAGAAGGACCTGGGAAACGTGCACCCTCTCCCTGCCCCACAGATCTGCCAGCACAAGCAACCCGCGTGTGAGCAGCAACCGTGGGCTAACAGGATTAAAGACTGCAAATGATTTTATCTGTCATGCAGGAATTAATTCTGCTGGGGGCTGAATGAAACACCCGCTCTGAACTGCTGCCTTGGAACCTGGCTTGCTAGAAGTGTTCAGGCTCACAAAGTCGGGTAGGGAAACCCCAAACACACCAAGCAGCGAGGCTTCCTCACCCAGGTCTCAGGGCTGGGCACCTTCCCCACGCTGAGCAGAGCCCACGGTAGAGGCTGCTGTGACTTAACCCACGGCCACCTCGTTTGCTTTAAACCCCCACCAGCCAAACCATCACAGAGCCTCTCTGCTGGGAAGCCTCAACCCCCCCTCACACCCACCAACCATCCCACTCCCAGCACTGTGAGTCCTGCTTCCTCACCCAGGTCTCAGGGCTGGGCACCTTCCCCACGCTGAGCAGAGCCCACGGTAGAGGCTGCTGTGACTTAACCCACGGCCACCTCGTTTGCTTTAAACCCCCACCAGCCAAACCATCACAGAGCCTCTCTGCTGGGAAGCCTCAACCCCCCCTCACACCCACCAACCATCCCACTCCCAGCACTGTGAGTCCTGCCATGTCTGCACTGGTAACTGGAGCTATCTGGGGAGGAACTGGAGCTATCTGGGGAGGAACTGGAGCTATCTGGGCAGGAACTGGAGCTATCTGGGGAGGTTTGGGGTGTCTCACTCACCTGTATGGC